AGTACATATATGGAAAGAGACACGCCAAATCAGTTATACTGACTGTTTTGCAGTTGGGGCCAGTTCCCATTGACAAATTTAGTAATGACCCCCAGAATGTTCTGAACCCTGCCACAGAGTAACAGACCATCTCTTTCTTTACCAAAAAGCTAAACCCTCTATAATGAACTAAATGATTTGAAAGTCTCCAGATATATCCAGTTCAGGATATATCCGGGAATATCCAGGAATCCATTTCAGGCATTCCCATTTCAAAGCATCTTTTGGTGATATTGGTATCCTATCAGATGTTTGAAATGTATTTGCTTAGGTTGACCAAATGTGAGAAGTATTAGCAGAAATTATAGTGTGATTTATATGCTTTGAAAGAAATGAAAAGATCTATCCCCTGCAATATCCAAGTAGAGCTATGTCTGAATGCACGTGGAATCAAGGCCTGCCTGCCATGAGGAAGGCATTTCTGTGTTGTCAAATGTCAGGTTACAATTTGTTTAAGGAGTTTTCACTTATTTTACTGTTATTCCAAGTTTGTTTAAGTTACTTGGAAACAACAGAGGAGCACAAACCTCGGTTCCCTTGGGTGTTCCATATTGGCTTCCCATGGTTGAACACGTCTTTAGCAGTCGACAGTGTTTTCTATCCGATTTTGCACACGATTGCTGGGATACCAGTAAAATGACTTTCCGAGTCTAAACCGACGGTCAGGAGTCCACATTTCAAGAAGTTGTCATAGGCTAAACCCTCCAAAGTTCATCAGAAATGGAAGAGACAGTTCACCAGGGGCATCCCTTTGAAGAAGGAGACAATATAAATCTTCACCTTTCAGAAGTTTTTCATCCCCCTAACGCTCCCCCAGAGCAGTGGGTGGGGTTGCACAGGGAGTGGGTAAGGAGTAATACCTTTGCAGCATTTTCTGTGGCATGAATTGACCGGGCTTTGCACCCTGGGATTCTGGAGATACTATAAGTACCTAGGACAATCCCATGCATTGAAAGGGCATGCCTTCTTCCCGAAGAAAGGGCAGGAAGGCATAACCCAGTTTTCAGTCGGAAATTGAAACTGCAAACTGCCATAAGCCTGCAGTAGCTAACTGCTCAGAGCTGGGACTCAGAAACGTACACAGGTATGAAAACATGTCTTTAAACATGATTCCTTAGAAAGCCAAACCAAGTTTCCTACTAATAGCCCTCCGGGGATCTATTTGTCATCTCTGTGTATTAGTCAGGAGCTCAAGTGTTGCAATGGCTAGGTGCTCAGCTGCTAACTGAAAGGCCAACCATTTGAACTCCCTAGTCACTCTGGGGAGACAAAAAGAACACCTTACTGGGCATTAAATCCTGCTGAGAGGTGCCCTCCGGCCATTCCAACTCACCAAAACCCTACTGTAGCAGCGTGGAGCACAGAGCCCAGGCCTGTGCCACCCTCAGAGTCTTTGCTGTGTGTGAGGCCACCTCCCTGAGGCCCGTCCTATTTCTCTCTGCCCCTTCTACGTTACCAAGCAGGATGCATCGGAAGTATCATGTGCAGATCAAGAATACTGATGACAGGCAGTCCCTGGGTTACAAATGAGACCTACTCTTAGTTGTGTCTTTAGGTCAGAACAGGTGCATACAGTTCTTATTTAGCCTTTTATTTATTTTTTTAAGGCAAGAAATGGCATGAAGCCCTTACAAGGATTTAAACATTGCATGTGCAGCAAGTCCAGGTGATTATGATGCAAATTTATTGTGAGTACAGAGTGGCTGAATGGATCCAAAGTGAAGGCACATTTTCATACCATTAAAGGGCAAGTATGGCTTGTCCACCATCAGTTTGTCATCCTGTTGTGGCTTGTGTTTGCTGTTGTTAGGGTACAGTGACCCCTTTTCCAAGCAGATCCCAGAGCCGCCAGCTTCCAGAAAGGAGTGGTGGTGTGGCAGCAATGCAGAGACCAACAGGCAGGTAGGAGGAGGCAGCACAGCAGGGTTATTGAGCAGTAAAGTCAGGATACACTGGGGACAGGCCCCCAGCTGGTCTGCACTACCGACAGGGCACACGTAGGTAGTGAGATGCAGCCCAAAGCCGGCAGGCCCTTCTTGTCTGTCTGGCAGGGGCCATTGAGCCCAGGCTGGGGGTTTTCAATCAAAGGCAGTTGTCCCTGGTTGGCTGGGACCCAACTAGGTCCTTATGGTTTCCAGGTGGTCGGACTCCTGGCCTCCAGCCTCCGTGTTTCCGGTGTAGAGTAACTCACCAGTGGGACCCTCAGGGGGCTTTCCCAGTCCTTGTCATTGTGATGCTGGAAGCTGTGTCACTGGGATTTCACAGACCAGTAGAGTCACCCGAAGAACAGGTGTCCGCAGAGCTTCCAGACTACAAACAGACAACGAAGAAGGACTAAACTGTCCGCTTAGGAGGCCTTGGCACGGGAAACCTCTTGAATAGCAGAGCATTGCCAGAGAGGGTCCCAGAAGATGAGCCCTCAGGTCTGAAGACACTCAAAATGTGACTGAGGAAAAGTTGCCTTCTCAAAATGGAATTGATGTGGATGGAGGAAAGCTTTTTGGACCTTCATTTGCTGGTAGGTGCAACTCAAAATGAGAAGAAACAGCTGTAATATCTATTAATAATTGTGACATGGAATGTATGAAGTTTGAACTTAGGAAACTAGGAATTTGTCAAAAATGAAATGTGAGCCTGAATGGACTGGTATTGACCATTTTGAATCAGACACTCATAGTTTACTATGCCAGGCATTACAAAATCAAAAGGAATCGTGTCAGATCCATTGTCAAAAAGGACATTTCATGACCTATCTTGAAGTACAATGCTGTCTGTGATAGGATTATATCTATTTGCATACAAGGAAATCCAGTCAATACAACTGGTATTCAAATATAGCCACCAACTACTAAAGTTAGTCATAAACAAAATTAGATCCTACCAGTCTTAAATCTGAAATTTATCAAACATGCAATCAAGATTCACTGATATTTACTGGATAATTATTGAAATTATTGGAGATTGGAATGCAAAAAAGTTGGAAACAAAAAGGGACAGTAGTTGGAGAATATAATCTTGGAAGAAATAAAGATTGCATGATAGAATTTTGCAAGAACAATGCCTTCTTCATCACCAAGACCTGTTTTGACAGTATGAAAGGCATGGATTTCTCCAGATGGAATACCCAGAAAGCACATTGACCACATCTGTGTCTGGAAGACTCCCTCTGGAAGAGACCAGGGTGAAGCAGCTCAAAGGAAAGCGGGGAGCCTGGGACACCGACCACGGCCTGCTCGGAGGCCGAGTCAAGTTGAAGCTGCGGAAATGAAAACAAGTCCATGAGAGCCAGAGGATGACTTTGAGTCCATCCGCCTGGACTTTGATAACGCTCGAGAGCAGAGTAGATGCACCGGACAACGGCGACAGAAGCTGGGAATGCCATCAAGAACATCCCACATGAAAAGAAGCAAAAGCTCATTAAAAAAAGACAGGCAAAAACTAAAAGCTCGAAGTGCGTGTCAGAAGAGACTGAAACTTGCTCTTAATTAGAGAGGAGCTAAGGCAAAGGGAAGAAATGCTGAGCAAAACATTTTAAAGGGCTGCTTGAGAGGACAAGGTAAAAAATTAGAAGGAAATGTCCAAAAACTTAGAGTTAGAAAACCAAAAAGGGAAAACCTGCTCAGCATATCTTTTTTGCCTCCAGTGTCCTTTCCATTCTTTGTCCCTCCCCAGCAGTTCTACGAGCATACAACTCGCATCGCATGCGATTCCATAGTTCAATCACATCAAGAAGAGCTGTACACTCACCACCACAATCAGCTTTAGAACATTTTCTGCATTCCTTTTTTTCTCATTCTTGTACTCATAAGGTCCCCATTTCTGCCCAACCTCCCCTGCCATACTCCCCAGTAGCCATTACTCCAGTTAATGTCTCCCTAGATTTACCTTAGATTTCATAAAGAAAAATATATTTTTTAAAACCCAGCAAGAATAATGAAGTAAAACAGATAAAAACCTCAATCAAAAAGCAGAAAATATTAAAAACTAGAATACATTTAAATGGATCATAAGGAAGATGAAATGACAGGGTGCTAAATTTTAACCTAACTGCATCTGCAACAAACAACTGTCTAATGCATTCTGCATGTTAGCAAGGCTATTCACATCCCTGATCCATGGTCAGAAGAGATTCCCCAGGGGCTTAATCCATGTGTATTTCCCCTTCACTTTCTTCAAATGAAAACAGCTTTAAAATGGGTAAAAAGGGAGATCAAGTAATAAGATATTACATTTTGACTTAACTCCATCTGCCATCATCAACTTTACAATGTTTCCTGTCTGATATCAGGGCTCTTCACACCCTCAACTATGACCTGAGGAGATTCGCCTGAGGCCGAATCCATGCGCGGAGCCTGCAAATGGATTTTGGGCTTCCACTGTCATCCATATCCTTCTGCAAATCAAGTGTGTACAATTTAAGCTCTGGTGCCATTCCCT